CCCCCCCCCCCCCCCCTGGCAGGGCCTCTTCTAAGTCAGGGAGTTTTACTGTACTACTAGGATCCACCTCTGCAATAACTGGTAACCCAAAAGCCCTCTTTACGGACAACTGCTTCATACAGACACCTGATCAAGGCTGTGCTCTAGCAGAGCCCTGTGGCCCCTGGCACCAAACTTTTGCTTTTGGCTGACTAGAAAATCTCAGACTTTTCATACAAATCATATGCTGGGCAGCCTAGATTTTACAGGTTCAGAGAACTGGGCTCCTTTCAATGTTCCTTACAGCACAGCCTTGCTCATTATTACAGACAGCTTGCTTTGTTCCTTGGAAAAAAGCCCTTAAATTTTTCTCTAAATTAAGGTGGACAATTTCTACCCTTAGAACCTGAATTTTAAGAACCTGTTAGGCTAAAATATGCCAGATGAGCCCCCTCTATATAAAAACCTGTTTAGCCTCAAATTTGAGACAGGTTCTTATTTTTGAAATCTATGAAAAAATTCTGTACACTTGAGCAGAGATAAATCAACATTTAGAATCTTCTTTGGAGACAAAGCTGTCTTATCACTCCAACTGCAATGTAAATGACAATGTTTAAATTTAAATACACTCTTCGTTTTTTGTCCATTCTCACATAACTTCTAATTTGGTATGCAGACTTTATATGAGGAATAAGGTGAAACAAAAATACTCTTAGTTACATTTTTTCTTCAGAAAATAAGAACCCATTTAAAAACCTAAATAGCCTTAACTTGTGCTAACTACTATTTATATAAGAATCTGTTTAGGCTTACTTAGTTAATTCAGGTTCTTAGTCTCATGATTTTACTGCCCCATTGTTCCACTTTTTCTATTTCCTTTCCCTGTCACCATTTTTGCAGCCTTGGTTTTCCAATATCAAAAGTACATTCAATGATCAATAAATTTATATTTTAACTAAAGCCACCAAAATATGCAAATTGCTTGATATATATTAAACAGCGTAGACGGGTAAACAGATTGAATGACATCACTTAGTCTGTGTGGCAGGCATTTCAAAGAAAAGGGAAAGTGGGTCTTGGTGCAAGAGAAATGTGAGAGAAGGAGGGAGGGAAATGCCTGCCATACAGGAGACTAGTTGTTTTTTGCATTATAAACATCAACCAGGTGAATGTTGAAATCACTCCCTCCTTCCCGATGCACTCTTCACATTTCTCTTGTGCCCAAAACCCCTTTCCCTTTCCTTTTAAATGCCTGCTACAGAGACTAATCACCACTGAATGAAACAGGGACTAGGCAAGAAACTGACAAAGTCATAACATCCACTCAACAACACACACCAATCTTGGAAATAGATTATGATTTTCTTTTCTCAAGAGTAATGTGC